CACACACACACATACAGTGTGTGCCCACACCCACTTTGTGTGAGTGATCAGTGCTGTAATGTCTCAGCAAGCTCCTCTGAAAGTGGGATCAATCTATAAGAATGGGATCAATCTGTCTGACCTTTTCCTTGTGGTAAACTGCAGTGTTCAATCTCTCATTATTTTGACAGTGAAAGGGCAGCTTTTCCGGCTGTGAGCTGACGGGATAGAGCATCACTACACTGCTGGTGTTCACAGTATCCACTTTTGTCTCTCATGGCAGAGTCGGGCTTACTCACTAACTGCTCCCTCAGCTTCACTCTTTTTACTGTGTCAACTGAACTGCAAAAATCCACCAAACAGAAGTCACATTTGCTATTGCACCAAACACACCAAACACTTTTTGCTTCAGCTGCACTACTTTACGCTACACTACACTACAACTGTGAAAAAATAGCTTTCAGTTGGAGGAGCTCCACAATGCACCACGTCATAAGCTTAAAATATAGTATATTTCTAGATTTCAAATTTATGTCTATGGAGTTATATGGTTGCCCTGAGAGCTTTGTATTCTGCTGCTGAAGAAAGCACAATCCAAGAAAACATCTACAGGGTTTTATTTGCAAATATGTGTGAAGAGTTGTTGAATTGTATTTACAAATCTGAGTACACATTTACAGATTTATGTACAGTTATTTACCCCCTGGTAAACATCTTCACTAATGAAAATACATACAGTGTGTATAATACGTTTTCTTCATTTTCTTGTGTTGTATTTATTCTTGTTTGTTAAGTTGCAGTGCATTGAGCTCTGAAGGCCACCATAGAATTCCGAATTTTCTCACGCAGAGAATAGATAGATGGTTGAAATAAGGACAAAAACAGTTTGTTGTCGATGTTGGGGAATTCAGTAGACTTTAGCTTGTGTTAATACCACTAAGTTCTCTCTCTGGGTCTCTTATACCAGGTCCCAAATGGTTCAAGTAAAATGTGAAATGTTAAATTCATCATATTGAGATTTTGATTAGAGATGCTGTAAAGCCATTGATGCTATAGCTGCACTGGCGACAGGAAAAGATTGTTAGAAGGATGCAGGTTCAATGCCAGAGTTCTGTCAAAATGTCTGTCAAGCAATATGCTGACAACCATTTGGTCTGACTCATTACATGTTGCAGTGAATAAGAGCAGACACTAAATGCTTCAAATGTAATTGATGGATTACAGTCAGTGTGTAGTCCCGTCAGCTGCAGCTGAGTTACAGTTCAGAGCCAAGGTTAAGTACATTCTCCACCGAATAGACAAGTTAACCTCCTGCCATTTAATGAGGTTACCTATTCACTAACAACATGATCTCACTAACAAACTGAGCGTGCTGCTGGCATATGAGCTGTTGCCACACACACACACACACACACACACACACACACACACACACACGTACAGTTGAACCACACACACACTGAATCCCCCAAAACATGAAAAGTGAGAGGTCCAGGTCTGTTTCTTGTCTCTTTTGTGGTTTTAGCTGCAGTTTAATTTCTGTGTGTTGAGCTGTTGGAGTGTTGGTCTATGGAGGCAGTTAAAAAAGTAGAGAGAGACTGCCACTGTGAATTGGTTGCTCTGTTTTCAGAGTGCATTAAAGGCCTGTCTCAGAAGCGCAGAGGCTCGGTCCTTTACACAGACTTGATTTTCTCCACACAGTGTGGGTAGAGGTGGGAAGCGCAGCCCACATTGCTCACTGCTGTACACGCTAAAGCACTCTACATGAATAATTTGCTACTCCCAGCTCCGGTTTGGCCTTGCTCCTCTCTCCCTTTCACCCACGCAGTGATGTTATGCTGATTCAGGGGCAAAGAGGAGAGTATGGCAGTGTCAACATGGCAGGAAGAAAGCTGCTTCATGGAAGAAAAATGTTCAAAAGTATTTCATTTAGATATTTAATTAGATTATACTGTACTGGAGAATAGTAAAAGCAGATTGCAAGTGGCTTTGAGGAGGGTGGAAGTGAGTTTAGACATCAGATGCTGAGTTTTTTTTTAGCTTGGAAGATCATGTTCACGTATGTTTTCACACAGTACACACACGTAGCATGTCTTCACTGTCTATATTGTTGCATAACATCAGTATGTTTCTGTCCCTTCCATTGTGCTCTAGCTGTCCACAAACACACAGACGCTAGTCTCTGACATTTCAACACAACTTTTTTTTCTTTTTTTTTAATATGTGAAAGAACCGACACAGATGGCTAGTTCTGAGAGTACTGCACCTGTTTATATATAGCTTCTCAGTAGAGCAGATGAGAGAGATGAAAACAAAGCAAGTCTGTCTGTTTGGCATGCCAATGGCTCCATCCACGCATTGTGGTCTCAGTTGAGACAACAGATTCCTGCAGGATTTGGGCATGTCAAGAAAGGTTTTATCTCAAATAGAAAAACAGCGTCAGTAAAAATAACATTTTACACATACATTTCAAATGAAGCTAACGAATCTGTCTTTACTGTGTTATATTATATTTGCTTTTGGCTTATTGTATTTAGAAATGTCACTTTGTCAAACTAAGTGGGTAAAGTTAAAGCAGAGTTCTCGGAGCCACTGTGGGTTTTACCGTCCTTGAAAGGTTTTTAAATGGACAAAGTGTTTGCCAGGCTCTTATTTTATCTCCTTTTATGCTGAAAAATGTTGTAGCTGCCCACACTCTTTCTAAGGTTGCTGCAGCATTATACACGGTGAACTGCATATTTTCACAGTATTCATCATTCAGATGGCATCACTTCTAAAGGAGGGAGTTGCATAATTTATCACTCATGTTGCGTAATGGCTCTAATTGAGTTATTATGAGGTTCCATGTAAGTCATGTTCCAGCCATAAGTGGCACTGCTTTGTGTTGTATGATATTCTATTGATCACAAGCTCCATGAGGTGAACTTTTATTTTGGCAAGCCTGTATTAATTGCAGCTTTTACTGACAATATACCCATGAACAAATAACAGTCGCTCTATAGTAACATATCCACAAAACTTGAGTCTCACCACTTTCATCAACATTATTTCAATCAGCAGTAGGCAGCTGTTTTTGGTAACTCAAACATCTCACAAGCAAAACATCCAAATGGCGATGACCAAACCACTGTAAAAGTCCAGTAAATATGTGACTTAAATGTTTGAGGTTTAGGCAGAAACAGGAGTTCATTTATTTAATCAATACACAGTAATAGGATCACATACAGTAAATATGATGTATTTTGTGGCCATCATCTTCACCACCCCCTGCTTCTTCCTTGCCCATCCTCTGCCTCATCCATTAGCTGGTAAATTTTAGCCATACGTTTGTCTCCCACCACCCACGTCAGCGTGTGACTAATCATTATTTGTCAGCTTTACTGGACAAGTACTAGACATGTCCTGTGTTGCTCTGTATCCACCCTTCACCGCCGTGGTCAGTGAGCCACACAGTATTTTCTACAAGAATCCAGAGGACACACAAGGAGTCCTGAGGAGAGCAAATAATCAATGTCTGACTCACATGGGGCCTGATCAATTTCTCTAAACAGGGTTAGCATGAAGTGAAAAAGAAGACAGACTGTGCCCTCTACTCTCAGACCTTATCTGGAGACTTATCTGTCAATCGCTGGTCTCTGAGGTCTAGATTAAGATCCCTATCATGCTGTTAGGGTGTTCCTTTGCCAACTAAATGATTGTCACCCTCTGTCTATCTCTCTTTGTCTTACTTGCACTGTTGTCTTTTCTCAATTATTTATATCATCCAGGCAGATAACTCTTCTTTTAGGAAATGTGACAGAAGCGACAGAACCCCAATAACTTCACTAAGTGCTGATTGTATTTGACAGTTGCAACATGAGGAAAATGTAAGGGCTTTTGAAGAAATTAATAATGTACTTGCAACCTTCTCTGGCATCTTGACTGTTGGGAGTGCAGTAGAGATGCCCTCTGATACAGTCATTGAGCATCTGCATTGTTTTTATTTCTTAGCCATTCCTGGGCATGATGTTGAATTCCATCTTCTGTATTTATACCTTTGAAGTGTGAAACCAATAAGAGAAATGATTTATTAGACAGATGGTAATCAGCAGTAGAGGCATTTATGAGGTTATTTGTTTTGTTGTACAAATCTGTGACACAAGAACGATCGCTCTTCAGGCCCGAAGCACCGATGATTATCATAGAAATGGAGGGTTATGTTACAAACATGGTGCCGCCACCTCTCTTTTCAGCTTCCTTGACCTGCAATATAACCATTTCTTTTCATCGAGCAGCTTCATCAATCTGCTGCATTGACCTGAAATTGAATCTGCTTATGTTAATGTCCTGTCTTTGATGGGTTTTGTTTTAGATTCTTGGCCGTGTCAGAATCTATAACTACCTCCAAACATACGGCTCAGTGAGGATGATTGTGAAGGACGAATCCTGCTTTTGCAGATAGAAGGTTTGCTGTGGGCTCCATCAGAGGTCTAATGACAGTTGCACCCCTCCAATCTCAGAACAGACGTGTTAATTTGTATTCACACAGCACTCTTCCTCTGTGTACCCTGTTTGAGAGTGCTTAATGTTGTCAAATGATTAAGTCTTCTGGAAGAGATGAAAGGCCTTGCTTGGACAGGCTTTCAAATATTCAGTTGTTCAGACTCGTTATACTGAGTCCTTGGTACTCCATGAATGTTTATAGAGCAACAACTTTCTGATTTAATTTATTTAACTTTGAGACAGATTTATATTTCTGTACCCATCAATCATCATGAATAATAATCAAATAATGTGTTGAGACAGTGTCAATATCAAAGTAAATACCAATGTTGAGCATACTTAATCAGATTACTGTCCATTAACACAGTTTCTCTTTTTGTTTGCTTATTGTTGGCACCAGGTGGAAAAAGAAACCTCTGAGCTTTAGTATTTAATTTTGCAGACATGTATAAGAGTGTGTTAGGAGAAACCATGTGCTTCTGTCTGATTATTTCCTTTCAGCATTGTTAATTGTTGTTTTCTTTGTGCTTGTTTTTCAGAAGAAAGAATGGCTATGCTTGAACTGTCAGACGCAGAGGGCTCTGTCAGGAAGCTTGGGAGATATTCCTGCTCCTGTTGCACAGCCTGTGGGATCCCCCCGGCCACCTGCAACAGCCAATCAACAACCGCCTCAGCAGAAAGGGCCCAATCAACTTTCAGGGCCTAGGCCCGCAGGTCCTCAACAACAGCAGAAACCATCGGGTCCCCAAGTAAGTGGCCCCGTCTCTCCTGTGAAACAGGCAGGGCCTGCCCCTCAAACCAAGGGGCTTAGCCAAGCGTCCCCTCAAACCAAGGGTTCTGCCCAACCTGTTCCTCAACCCAAAGGTTCAACTCAGCCTCCTTCCCAAACCAAGGGCCCAACACAACCCACAGCTCAGAGTAAGGGTCCACAAATGAAAGGTCCTAATCAATCACATGCTCAAAGTAAGGGCCCTATTCAGTCTGCTAACCAAGTAAAAGGCCCGAGCCAGGCCAAAGGGCCGACGCAGACAAAGGGTTCTGCTCAGACCTCTGCTCAGGCTAAGGGCACTTCTCATCCCTCTGGTGCCAAGGCTTCATCCACCCCTGGTAAAGCAACACCCACCCATGCCAAGACCTCTCCCACCCCTTCAAAAACAGCACCTACACAGTCTAAACCCACAGGTAACAACCAGGCCCGCAAACAGCCGCAGAGCCAGGAGAAGACTAAAGTCGCATCTAAATCTCTAAAAGAAGATGTCAAGGCCTCACCGAAGAAGGCATTGTCAGAGACTGTCACTTCACCAAAAGACATGAAGATAGCTGAAGATGTACAGAAGTCAAGACACCATGAAGTGAGCTACCTGCAACTTCCTCGCCTTCACCTGTTACTCTTGATTCACCTTTTAAATTTTTTTTTGCCCATTTGAATAATTGTAACCATTTCTCATCGTCATCGCCATTGACAACATCTTCGCCATCAATGTCATCATCATCATAAAATCATAATTATTTTAATCATATTATGCAATCATATCTTTCTTGGTTTTTTGTTCTTGTTGTGATTATAATTTTTGTAATTAACATGTTTGTTTTATTTTTCATTAATGATCTTGTTCTTTTTCTTCTCCGTCTTTTTCATGAACATCAGGTCCCTCATTCGATCATCGTCATATTTATCTTACTATCTATTGTTCATCCTCAGCACCAGCATCCAAAGTTAGTTAGTACTAGTTCTCACCAGCTTGTGCTGTTATCACTAATGTAATAATAGTTATAACATAATCATTCCTTTATTAAAATTATTCCCTATCAGTGTAATTTTCCATCTCATATCTCATCATAATATCCTTGTCATCATCATCATCATCATCATCATCATCATCATCATCATCATCATCATAACCACCATCATCATCATTGTCTCCGCTCGTTCCCCCATTTCTCCACCTTGTTCTGTACACTTTTATTTTGTTTGTATCAAATGCAAGCTTTTGTTTAATGTGACACTTTGTGATGATATTTTAAGCATTCTAAGCATGTTCGTTATTCTTCAACGGTTCGAAGAATGCAATGGAGAATGCGTCAAAGATGGCAATCAAGCATGTAACCAAATGACATTTGTCTGTAGTTGTTTGTATCTTCAGCTGTCTGTTATAGTCACTCTGTGTGTCAGTGTATTTATCCATCTGTGTGTACATAACATTTCAAGGCAAACTCAACCCAAATCAATAGAAAAAAGCTTGAATAAACTACAAAATAAGATTGCATTCACAAACAGGTTAAAATAAAATTCATTAACTAACTTACTGACTAATTATCCTGTTGTGAATATTATATATTTAAAGAATAGAAAATGTTGAGATAAAGTTTTTTTTTCGGAATAACAAGTGCATACATGTTGCTAAAATTCACCTGATTTCTGAAACCAAAAAGCAATTCAATGTAAATATTTGGGTTGATTTTAGCCTGAAGTATTACTCTATCCAATTTTTGGATGAAGCGTTTGTTCTTTACTATGTAATTATTCTCTAATATTTTAGTGTTCATGACTATTTCATCTGTATTAGGCCTAGTACATTAATACTGTTCCCTATTATCTCAAAATGCTCATAAAAATGTCACTGCTGATGAGTTTGATGAAATAGTGGGATACAAGGTGTGCACTGAGGCTTGTAATAGACCTTGCCATGAGTTAATTTAGGAAAAAATTATGCCTTTTTTCGCTTCTGACCTCTTTTTTTCCTCTTTCTCTCTTTCTGCAGGATTACAACAAATCAAGTACCCACAGTTTAAGTGACACCGGATACTCTTCAGATGGGATCTCGAGCTCTCAAGGGGAAATTACAGGCCAGATCCGAGAGGAAGGAATCAAGCTCAGCGAAAGAGGTGCTTCCATCCCCTCAGAAATCACCAAGCTAGAGAGCTCGATGAAGCCTCTGCTAGAGTCAAACACCGTCTCAGACCAGAAGCATAGGCCACGTTCACTGTCAGTTGGACAGGACCGGGACTACAGTCCTGATGACGATGCAGCAAGGGATGAATCAGAGGATGACCTCAGTTGTAAGCTTCGCCATGATTATGTGGAGGACAGCAGTGAAAGTGGTCTCTCACCATTGCCAGTAAGGCAGAAGAAGTCACATAAAGATTTAACAGACGAGGAGTTCATGAGGAGGCAAATTATGGAGATGAGTGCTGATGAAGAAGAGGCAGAGGAATTTGGAAACCAGAAGACTAAAAGAGGGCATAAAACCAGTGGGGATGTGAGCAAAGAGAGACGACGACTCTCTCACCATTCTAATAGTTTTGAGGAAGACACCAAAGTAACGGAGGGTGCATATAAAGAAAATGAAGAGGAAGATGTTGTAATGGCCGGAGGCCTTCGACGCTTTAAGACTATTGAGCTTAATAACACCAATAGCTATAACCGAGACATGGAGCTCAGTACTGAGCATGATCTACGAGAGCCAGAGCTAGAGATGGAGAGTCTGACTGGTTCTCCAGAAGAGCGGTCCAAGGGGGAATATTCATCCACTCTGCCTGCCACCACTCCCAGCTACACCTCTGGAACATCCCCCACATCTGTATCGTCTATGGAGGATGACAGTGACAGCAGCCCTAGTCGTAGGGCAAGATTGGAAGAGGCAAAGCAGCAGAGAAAGGCTCGACATCGTTCCCATGGGCCACTACTGCCCACTATAGAGGACTCATCTGAGGAGGATGAGCTCAGAGAGGAGGAAGAACTACTTAGAGAACAGGAGCAGATGAGAGATCTAGAACAACAGAGGATCCGAAGTACTGCTCGGAAAACAAAAAGGGATAAAGAGGAGCTACGGGCACAGAGACGCAGGGAAAGATCCAAGACTCCCCCGAGTAATCTCTCTCCTATTGAGGATGCATCGCCAACAGAGGAACTGAGACAGGCTGCAGAGATGGAGGAGCTTCACAGATCATCATGTTCTGAATACTCACCTTCTATGGACTCGGAGGCAGAGGGGTTTGAAATGATTGGTGGAAAGCTTTACAAATCAGGAAATGAATATAACCTTCCAACTTTCACATCACTCTACTCCCCTACAGAAAAGACATCAGCAGTGTCACCATCTGATAAGACACTAAAAAGTGCAGAGGAGGTTTATGAGGAGATGATGAAGAAAGCACAGCTCATGCAGAGGCAAGGACAAACAGTTAATCAGCAGAAAGTTGCCTCTCAGCCTGACGGTAAACATAACCTTGAAGCAGGAACTGTCTTAACCCCTGGCTCAAGCCCAACACAGGTTTCCGCTCCTATGTCCTTCTCCACAACAGGGAGTGATCCAAGAATCCCAGGAATTCATGCAGCACAGCATCTATCAAAAGAAACACAAAATAGGATGATGACACAGAGTGCCAAAATTGAAGGTGTTGTTGGAGTTGCCACAACCAAACCCCAAGTCAGTCAGACCGCCACAACTCGACAGGCAGGCAGCACAGTGCCTGCCGGCAGCAAACCAGGCTCTCAGAGGCCAACGCAGGCACCACCTGACTCTGGAGCATCCTCCCTATCCTCCAAAGTCTTTTCCCTTTTCAAAGGTCCAAGCCCCCCAGGGTCCCCCAGTGCTTCCCCAGCACAAAGTCCAACACATATGCCATCTGTTCGACCCACTGGTGGTAGTGGCAGGCAGCTGCCATCCTTGCCTGGTGGTCCTACATCAGCTACAGCCCCCCATGGAGCTCAGGCACCTCAAAGGGCAATTTCACCACGTCTTGCACGACAGCAGTCCTCTCAAGATTCACCAGTGATGGTGATAACAATAGCCTCTGAAGCAACTAGTCCTGCTAAGCCACTGACTGTAAATTCTTCAACTTCCCCTCTGTCATCTCCAACACAGGTCAGTTGTAAAACATTGTATAGCTCCCAGCCCCCGTCTACAAGTTCCCCAACATCACCACAAATGCATCCATTGCAACAGTCTCCTAAGCATTCTTCGCAGATGGTTCAAAATGTTGAAAAAGTAAATGTTGGTATTAGCACAGTCAACACAACTGCCCATGGTCGTGGATCTATGGAAAATATATCTCTTTGTAAAATCTCAAATATTCCAGGGACTTCAATGGTTGTGGGTCAGGGCCAAACACATCCAAGCACTAATGTGGTAGATCTGAGAGCCCCAATGAGGCCTGCCCCAATTATAATGACAGACCAGGGGATGGACCTAACATCCCTTGCCTCTGACACGAGAAGATACTCTGTAGGATCAGAGCAGCCATCTGGTCGACACACGGCAGTGCAACCCCTTATTATGAACCTGAACGCACAAGAGCAACCACATATATCTGTGTCTACACCGACCACAGTTAGTGTCACGGTTGTAGGTTCAACATTCATGTCCCAACCCAAGCAGCCAGTGGTGTATGGAGATCCTTTGCAAAACCGTGTGGATTTGGGGCAAGGGGTTGGATCAGCTGTATGTTTAACCCAGAGTAAGCCACCGATTAGTGACCCGTCTATTCCCAAAATTGATGCCTGCCTGGAGAACCTGGGTATACAACAGCAACAATTGCAGTTACAGCAGCAGAAGCTCCTGCAGCAGCAACAACTTCTTGAGCAGCAGCTCCAGCAGCACCAACAGCAATCATCTTATGCTCGATACAATTTAGCTAATCAGGTCCAGCCACTGCTGACGAAAAAAGACCTTGTAGTGAGCCAGACAAGCAGTGCCCAGCCTGTAGTTACTGCTAGTGCCATACCTAGAGTATCCCCTCTGGCTCCACCATCGGTGTCTGGGGCTCCTGCTTCTAACGTTCCCCATGAAATCTATGGTGGAGTTGCCTTAGAGCTAAAAAACAAGCCGACAGTAATGAACTTGTCCACAGGTAAACCTCATGTTATGATGGTGCAACTTGATGAGAGTAACACATCACAGGTGGGAACAGTGACTCAACTGGTAAAGCGAGAGGAACCTCCTCCCCCTCCTCAGGTCTTGGATCTCACGGGACAGATCAAGTCAGAAAACCAGGTGGCTTGTTGTGATGTTGTTTACAAATTGCCCTTTGCTGGTTCCTGTTCAGGGTCATTCACTCAGAAGCCTACAACAGTATCCTCAGATAAAACTCCCACCTCTGAAACCTCTCAAGCAGCCCACCCTCCCCATCCACCACACTACAATGTCAGCCAACAACAACAACAACAACAACAACAACAAACAACAACAACAACAACAGCCTCAAGCTACACAAGGAGTGACAGAGGAACATAAACCATATCAACCACCCATAGTCCCCTCAGGAAGAATACAGCCCTCAATGTCTGATACTAATCTGCCTTCAATGACTGATGCTGGTCACTATCCAAGCAATGTCCAGGGGGGTCTGGCAGTAGATCTCAGCAGCATGAATCAGGCTTATGATGGTGGATATCTTGGCATGGGAGCACAGTATGGATCTTACACGGACTTGCGTCACCAAGGAGATTTTGCAGGCCCTTCATTACCCCTTCGCCGATATGGCTCCATGTCAAATATCAATTCCGACTATGCATACGGTTCACGTGACCTAACAGGATCACAGGACTCCAATCTGGCTCAGTACAGTGCAACCACTGCCAGGGAGATCAGTCGCATGTGTGCAGCTTTGAACACGGTGGACCAGTTTGGGAGTCGGTATGGAAACAACCCTGAACTGGTCCCATATGGGGCTGGAAGGGGTGGATCCCTAGGTAGGCTTAATCTCCAGCAAAGCTTAGCATCAATAAGAGCAAACCTATTGTATGGCCCAGATGGAAGACCAACGGCAAATGGCCAAACCCTAACAAACCTAATAAATGCCAGACAAGCAAGTATACGCGCCTTGTACCCTGCTGCTATGAGAGGAGGTGATGGCATGATATATTCCACAATAAATACTCCCATAGCCTCTACCTTGCCAATTACCACCCAGCCTGCCTCTGTCCTCCGTCCCATGCCCAGGGGAATTTACAGACCATACCCTACAGGTGTAACAGCTGTACCACTGGCTAGTCTTACCAGGTTGCCTCAAGTGACTCCTAGAATGCCTCTGTCCACACAGGGACCATACGCTTACCCTCCTCCAAATCAGTATCCTACATCAGCTACACCATCAGGAAGTGTGCCTGCTGCAAGCAGCTCACACCAAGAAATTCCAGTGTACCTTGGAAAGCCTTTAACAACAGTTGCTCCGCAAACAGCTGCAACCATTCCACCAACCCCACCTACAGCACACTTAGGAGCACAAAATGTACCAGCACCTGGTATGCAAACCACAGAAGATCAGCAGACAGACCGCACTCAATTTACCTCACAGAGTGTTACATCCCTTTCTCAAGCTCAAGGGCAAAATCCAACTGCCCAGCCAGTCCAGGCTCAAATGCAGCCACAACAGGTACCTGCTCAAACTGAACCTTTATCTTTGACTCAAACCCAACCTCAAGTTCAGCCCATCAGTCAACTTCAACCATTAGTTCTGCCACAGGGCCAGCCACAAGCGACTCCCCATGGTACTGCCCTAGCACAGAGTTCCAAACTTTCTCCTCCCATGGATGCACAGAAAGGAAAGGAAGATGAGAGACTGAGTCAGCAACAAGAACATATGCTGCAGTTAGAGCGAGAGAGGGTTGAACTGGAGAAATTACGGCAGATGCGCCTACACGAGGAGCTTGAAAGAGATCGTATGGAGCTCCAGCGACACCGAGAAAAAGAACAATTGCTTGTTCAGCGTGAGATTCAAGAACTACAGACAATCAAACAGCAAGTCCTACAGCAGCAGCAAGCTGAGCGGGAGACTCAGCTCATCATGCAAAGAGAACAACTGGCCCAGCAGAGAATGCAGCTTGAACAAATTCAGTCTCTGCAGCAGCAGCTTCAGCAGCAGCTGGAGGAGCAGAAAAGGCAAAAAACAGCAGCAGTGGAGGCAGCAGCTGCTGCTGCAGCAGCGGAGGCAGCCGCTGCATCCGCAGCAGCAGCGGCAGCAGCAACATCTGCCCAGGGTGCTATACAAGGGGTAGTTGTTGGAGGAGGGGCCCCTCAAGGATTCATTATCTGTGACCAGAGTGGTAGAGTTATTCAACAAGATGGACAGAGTGTTCAATTTTGGCAGGATGGACAAGTGGTCCAAGCCATGGTGGCGGCTCGACCTATTCATAGTTCTGCCTCTGAAATGTCTTTGAGGAGCAGTGACAAACAGGCTGATTCCAAGACCATGAAAAAGCAGAATTCCATGCCTCGGCTGAGGGATGGCTCAGAGGACGACTCTGTGAAGAGGATTACAGACAGCTGTGTGCAAACAGACGATGAAGATGGAGAGGACAGATTCATGAACAGGCGTAGGAGAACAAGGCGTATCGCAGACTGTAGTGTGCAGACTGATGAGGAGGACCAGGGAGAATGGGACCAGCAGCCAGTAAGGCGCAGGCGATCACGTGTATCCAAGCACTCTGAATCCAGTGGTGAGACTAAATCAGATGGGTCATCTAAAGTGGCTTCTGCAAGTATAGCTATTCAGACCACAAATGATTCGTCATGCCAGACGGAGCCCGACCAGCTAGGCAGGGTTTCACCTGCAATCCACATTACCATGGCAGAGACCTCCAAGGTTGACCTATTACATTATATAGCTGCCCCTGAAAGGACCCACAAAGGAGAGAGTCTGGCCTGCCAGACAGAACCAGAGTCTCATTCTCAGGGTGTGGTCGCCCCTCAACTTAGTGTCCCTACAACTATCAGTCCGTACTCCACAAGTCTGCATATAGTAGGTGCCAACACATCGGATCCAACCTCTCCTAGACTCCAAGGAGTTGCTAAGTTTGAGAGGCGGAAACCAGACCCCCTGGAAATTGGCTATCAGCAGCAACAAAATGAATCTCCATCTCGCCAACCCCCCAAATCTCCCCAGGTGCTATACTCCCCTGTATCTCCATTGTCTCCTCATCGTATGCTGGAGACCACATTTGCCTCCCAGGAGAAACTCAACAAGGCCCATGTTACACCCCAGCAGAAGGCCTTCACCGCTGAATCACCCCAACGCCACCAGACCCTACCAAGACCCATAAAAAGTGTGCAGCGCTCCATGTCAGATCCCAAGCCTCTCAGCCCCACGTCAGAGGACCCGGCCAAGAACAGGTTCTCCCCATATCATCAGCAAGCTGTGTCCAACAGTCAGGTACGAAACCATCACCTTTTCATGAAGCAGAATTTACCACCGAAATTATAGTGAATAGAATCTAAAAATAAAAATGTATATTTTAGGGGAATGTACTCAGAAGAAATATCTGTTTTTAGAAATACACAACCCCCACAACATCTACAGTTTCTTCAAATAAAGCTACAATACACAGTGCATAAATAAAAGCTTAAATAAGATACTATAAAAATCCTCAAATTAGGGATAATGCCTTTGGCCCCCCATGGAGATCTGAGTCTTTTGATACAACATAGTAACTGATGCAACATAGATGTTTTTGCTGTTGATATACAATATGTACTTATGTCAAGTTTACATTACATTATATATGATGTCATAAAATGTGTCTTTTTTTGTCCATTTTTTTGGACTCAAACTAAAGGCCTTTATCATGAATATTTATTTTGCTCAAAATAATGCTTATAATAGTTATATATATATATATATATATATATATATATACACATATATAATAATTGCTTTTCTAAACTATAGACTTAAACTATAGTTTAATGTCTGGAAATGAAAATTATAAAACAAAAATAAATATATGTATATGCAGGATATTTGTGTGGACATAGAGGATCACACAGGATCTGGCATCGACAAAGTGACAGAATGTTCTCATGAGAGCAGCTGGTCATGCCAGAAAAGATTTTCCCATCATCCTTTTCTGCTGTATCTCCTCCCTTATCTTTCCCCTTTCTATTATTTTAGTCTGTTTTCGTCCCTCTCTCTCTCTCTCTCTCTCTCTCTCTCTCTCTCTCTCTCTCTCTCTCTCTCTCTATCTCTCGCTTTCTGTCATGTCTTCTATATCTGGCAAACCTTTAAGAGTTGCCAGGGGGACACACAATGTGGAGCAATCCTGGTGGTGCTTTGCTGTCTTCCTGATTGTTAGCAGCTGGTCAAAGTAAATTAATATTGTTCTGCGCTTAGACCAAAATTAGTCTGAGAAGCAAAGGTAGAAATCAGATGTCAGGCATTTTACACATTTGTACCTCTAATCTCTAGTGTTAGTGTTTCATACCTGGTTCTCCTTTGGATACTTAACAAAATCACCATGGATCTACCCAACACAACTATTTTGTAAGTAGTAGACTAGCATAGATGTCTTTTTAAGTAGTGTTTTTAATTGTAATGTTGACTATTCTTATCTGCATGCTGTACATGAATATTTTGAGCAATGAGAAAAGAAGACAGATACTGTGGTGTTTGATCAGAGGAGTTAATGGAAAATATATTTGAATGAAACCAAAAGACTCACAGCACAACTGTTTCATTGTACTTTGATATCTCCTGGCAATTTGAAAAAAAAAAAAGTTTTACTATTTCATGCTTATGCATGTTTACATTTACTAAGGTGCTAAAAAAGCACACGTCTTTGTTTAGCATTTTATTTTAATTAAAAAATTGTTATGACATTATGGATCCTGCATTTGCTAAATGCAAACATACTTATTGACACTGGTAAAGACATATTTGACTAATATTTAACTCATTGCAGTCACAATGTTATGAATGTTACTTGTTTAGGATAACAAGTAATATGGCTAAATTGTCCCTAAGGTGGTTCCACTTATGTGTACAAGTAGGAGTATTATTATATAATAGAGGTGCTTTGAGTTGACTTCACTGACTGCCACTTCTAAACATTTTACTTAACATTGTTAATCAGGCATAAAATGAAAATCGACACTTAGCATCTTTGGCTTCAGTGAAACAACATTTTAATCAATGTAATGAAATTAAACTATGTTAATTGAACTGCGGATGGAGCTAATGCACATAGGTCAATTAACATCAAGTGGACAACATATCAGGCTGCATAGCCCTTCACTTAGGTCTGGGGATGAGGAAATTTGCAGACCCTCTGTGAGTACCCAGTGTACAGTAATGAGTCTAATTTACATAAACACATTCTGTTTATAGCTCAGTGTTTGCTGATGTGTCTCTGCCTCTCCTAGCAGATGGCCTCCCTGCAGCAGCAGCAGAACTCTCTGATGAGGAAAGTAAAGAGGACTCTCCCCAGCCCCCCTCCAGAGGAAACTCCGCTCCCCATTGTTACTCCAGCACAAATGTACAGCTCTCCTGGCATGCCCCAGAGGGTCCTACCCAGACCCACCCAGGGAGTCACCAAGGCCGGCCTGCTTAGTGAACTGAAAGCCGTTGAACAAGAGTCGTCAAAGCTCCGTAAACAGCAAGCCGAACTGGAGGAAGAAGAAAAAGAGATTGATGCCAAGCTTCGTTACTTGGAGCTAGGCATCACCCAACGTAAGGAGACCATGGTGAAGGAGAGGGAGAGGAGAGAGCTGGCTTACCTGAGATGTATGGGTGACGCTCGTGACTACATGTCAGACAGTGAGCTCAATAACCTCAGGATAGCAGCTGCAACAGGAACCTTTGATGCTAATGGTCTGCTGACAAGGCCCAGCACTGCACCACTGAGTCAGTTTACCAATGACCTCAATGCAGCTTCTCAGTATCCCTCAACCTCATCTTATATGTCTTATTCATACCCTCAAAGTCAACCATCAACACAGCAGCCAGGCTCTGCTTACCAACAGATAGGCTTCCAACCTCCTCAGTACCCTTCATCCTCTGCACCCCAGCCAGGAACTTTCCAACCCCATCCCCCACCAGGCCCTGGCTACCAGAACCAGGGAACCTATTCCTCCCGCATGTATGCCCAGTCCTCCTATCAGCCAGACCTTGGCATGCAGCAGCATGGTCACCAGGGCTTCCATCAGCCTGGTCAGCCCATGCCAGGTCAGAGCCTCCCCTACCCCAGCCACAGCTCTTACCAACCTGGCCTCACCTACCAACCCCAGGCAGAAATCCTTACAGTCCATCAGAGACCAAGGCAAACGTCTTTGGCTGACCTTGAGCAAAAACTCCCCACCAACTATGAGGTCATCAGCAACCCAGCAGTGTCGGTGGCAACATCAGCTCCAGATACCAACTTTGGCTCAGTCTACAGCAATGCATATGGACAATACCGCCCCCCTGAGCCTGGTCTGACTCATTCTGTGGACAGCCCCACCTCTGCTTATGCTTCAGATGGTCTCTACACCGCTAACCTGGAGCAGAATATTCCTAGGAACTACGTCATGATTGATGACATCAGTGAGTTGACAAAAGACAACACTAGCCAACCCACCGATGCTTTAGGTCATCCTGTGGGAGGGCGTTATCGCACTGAGAACGGCCCTGCCCGTGGGACTGCCTATGGTAGGCCTGAGGATGAGCCTGTGGATGCTTATGGTAGACCTACAAGCTCAACAGGTTACCAAGGAACAGTAGACAGTCGCACCAGCACCACAGTGAGTGGAGGCTCTTCCTATTACTATGATGATTATAAACACTCATCACGGAGCAGCTCCAGTAGCCACAAACTCACACCCAAGAACCTCGCCCCTGCAGTAGTCTCCTCTAAACGCAGTAAGCACAGGAAGCAGGGAATGGAGCAGAAGATTTCTAAATTCTCCCCTATTGAGGAAGCACGGGATGTGGAGTCTGACCTTGCCTCTTACACGATGACAACATCAACAGGAGGCAGCTGTACAGTCGTGTCCAGATCCAAGAAGCTTCAAGATGATGTCACCTATGGGATGAAGAAGAGCGCATACGACCAGCAGAAATATTACGGCACCAGTCGTGAGGGTCTTGAGGAGGAGGACCGCATGTATAGCTCTGGAAGGTCCAGGTCTACTGGATATGGTATGGACAAGATTTCCTCCAGAGATGCCACAGGCCACAGGAGTAAATCCTATGAAAGAGATGCAATGGAGCGGTCTCAGAGAAGCGGCCGCAGTGGAAGGCCTCCCATGCGCAGCCAGAATTCAGAAGAGGAGAGCCCACTCAGTCCTGTTGGGAAGCCTGTAGGCATAGGAAGAACATCTGGCATATCAGAAGCCCATGATGTGAGAAATCAGTATGGCTCCAGCCATTCATTGCCAGATGTGCAGGACCACCACAAGAAGGACCTGCCCAGGAGTCATGTTTATAAACCAGATGACCCTTACCTTGTAGATGACATGCACTGTGCTGTTTCTGACAGTGAAGGTAACTGGTGCTGAATCATTTGTACTGCATGAAATTCGTTCCTCCCATCTTTAAAGTGTGCTGGAAAGAAACTGCATGCCAAGTGAGAAGAGCGCATTACTTTGTTTGTCTTGTCTTTTTTTTTATGGACTGGTTCCTGTCGAAAATGAAGCCAAATATGCCTATTTTATATTTATGTTTTGGATACATAATTTTTCAGTGTGAGGTGATGTCTTCTGTTTTTTTAAGCTTTTTTTGTTGTTGTTGGATTCCTCCAAAAATGTGCATGGCTCTGGGATTTGGAGCATGTTTTCCCTGTTATTTTGCATGACTTCGATCTGCATGCTGCTCCTCTCGACATGTAAAACAGTTGACTGATAATGTTTGTTTTGGTTTTGAAAAGCCTATCACCTGGGCCAAGAGGAAACTGACTGGTTTGAGAAGCCACGAGAGGCCCGTTCTGATCGCTCAAGACATCATGGAAGTGGAGGTCACTCATCAACAGGTAGGCGTAGTAAACACACCTACCATGATTATGATGAACCTCCAGAGGATTATGGTCCCCAGGATGAATACAACCAACAACGCCACTCGTCCTCCACACCGTCACGGGACCACCGTCACCACAGCGGCAGCACAGGCAGACACAGCTCTTCTCGCCACTCCTCAGAGGATCCCAGGTCCTCGCGATCTTCCAGGACACACCCCAAAGACCCATCTGGTCGCTCTGATGGCAGAAATGCTTCATCTACACAAAGAAGGAGTGGTCCAGACTCCCGTTCTGCCCAGGGAAGCCCCCGGAACTCAGGAGACTTCTCTCGTGACACCGCCTCTGGTCATCACCATGGCACTGGGGGAAGGAGCCAGAGACCCCAAGGAGATCGCGTAAGCTCCAGGAGGCAGGATCCCTCTGCAGCAGGGCCTAAACCAACGCAACAGCAGCAGCAGCAGCAGCAGCAGCAGCAGCAGCAGCAGCAGCAGCAGCAGCAGCAGCAGCCCCCTCAGGGCCATGCTGGGCAGCAACGGTCAGGTGGTCAGGGTCAGTCTGGGAGACATCCAGGCTCTGAACCACTTGATATCACCCAGCAGGCCCAGCAGCCGAGTGCACAACAACAACAACAGCAGCAGCAACAACCACTGCAACACAGCCAGACCTCTCAGAGCAGCCAGCCCACAACAACCACTGCAGGAGCAGGACCAGCACAACAGCAGCCCAAAACCGGCCAAACCCCACCACAGGGACGCCAGCCAGGAGTAGGGTCTGCAGCTGGGCAGCCGGCTACTACAGCGGTTAGTAGACCTAAGCATGGTTTGATTTTACCTATACAGAGTATATAACATTATGTTTTTAAGGATGTGATACAATCCTGTGGAGTGTGGTATTTTCTACAACAATCTGACTATCTTAAAAAAGGTTGGTTGGCATTATATAGAAAACTGGAGAAGGGAAATCAAGAGTTACACTTCAAATCATAGAATATGATGTCAAGTCTAGAATAATATATATAGTAGCAAATAAAACTTAACTTCATCCTTGTCTCTACTAAATCTTCTGCAGGCAAAAATGGACGCTACGCCTGCAGCAGCAGCAGCTGTGGGAATGAAACCTACAGCAGCAGTCCCAACCGCACCTCAGCCTACCAAAATAGCTACACCTCCTCTAACAGGCATCGGTAAGTCTCAGTTCCACCGCTACCATAAACCACACAATGACCACAAGCTAATGATGACATGTGGGGATGTGTGATGGTTATGTTGTTTGTTGTTTGCAGGCTCCAAGGCCGCCCCTGTTGGGATTGGTAGCAAACCCGGAGGTATAGGCGGCGCTGCAGCAGGACCTGCACCTGCTGAGGGGGAAAATGTACTCACCAAAATTCTGCAAGGAGGGGCAGCAGAGCAGGCGGGAAAACTGGGAGATGGTACAGTCATGAATAAATAAATGTTTAAAATTGTATTACTGCTTATCTTTGTTAAATCTTTACCTTTTATTTTAAAAGTAGTAGTAGTAGTAACAAAGTAAAAATGAAGACAGTGGAATTCCTTGATTGGGCATTTCACTGTTTGGGGTAGGTTGTTTTCTCATTTCTATATTTACCTCCTTCTCTTTGTCACTCACAGCTTTGTCTGGCCTCGGGAAGAAGTTCACTTCATTTTGGTGAACTAATCAGAGGAGGGTAGGTGAACTCAAGTTTTCAGTGAAAGTTACAGGGAACTCAAACTGTTTTCGTTTTTCAAACTTCTAATTTAGAAGGATGGATTGATTTTCGGATGGGAAGCAACAGATAGCGGTCTGCTTATCAACAGAAATGAGGAATTAAATTGTGAATTAAACCATGGATATATGGGAAATGATAGTGTTTATGTGTTTATTGCTTCACTTTAATCTTACTTTGAATCAATTGTGCTTTTTTTTTCAGGGTATCCAGAGTTGAAATGAGATGGATTGGTAGCTTTGTACTTGAAAAACCTATGAAACTGCATTAAATACATTTCACATTACAGAGGAAATAGAGGAAGAGAGATCTTGGGTGCATCAGTGAGTATCTCATTAACTCTTCCTTATCCCTTGAGAAATTGTTACTTTTTTTGGACATGTTTAAATTATTTTGGGGTGGGCTACGTCTTTATAATAAATATTGTGTCACCTGCTCCACTAAGCAAGTAAAAACCATGTCATCGTAGGAAACTATTTAAAAAATGTATAATGCGTTTCTTCACTTTTGTGACATTTGCATCCTATAAAATAGATGCAGTAACTTGTTAAACTGTTGATGGCTGGGTGATACTTTCCATTTTACCTGGTGAATCGTAGTTTTATTTAACGCACTCCAAGACTCCAAGCTGTGAAAACATAGAATGCTGTCACACTTTGATTAATGGATTACGTGTTTTATCAGATGGATATTTACATAGATTAGCATAGTCCATGTCTGCATAATGAGAAGACTCAAGTGAAGTGATGACTCATTAAATGCTGTGATTGTAAATTCGGACTGATCTGCTGTACCTTCCCCTTACCCCAAATTACTGAACAGAGCTGGAATCAAAGGATGCCTTGTCAGCACTGTATTCCCCAGACGCGGGCACACGATTGAAGTGAATTAAATAAGGGTGATCGCTTCGTCAGCATGGTGTTACAAGACATGAGCAGAGGCCTGAAAGTAAGTGGGTGCCTTGACAAAACTACAGTCCCAGAATGATGATAGTGGAGACATCTGACGACTCACTGGTAAGTAACTAAAATGCATAACTTTTGTTTTGTTGTTGGTTATTTGTTGGTTGTGTTTTTGCTTGCATCAGCATTTTATTTCAATGGTTCACTGCTGTGTCAGGTCAGGTAATTAAAGTCACAGTTTGCCTGAACTTTGTGCTGGAGAGGTGAGAGGCCAAAGCCAAGAACAAGGGAGGTCAGCACTAGTACGCTTTACCTTCTGACTCCACACACTTGCAATAATCTGGGCCAAGCACACTGGGCTATAATTAGCCTGAGAAGGCTAACTGTGGCTTGGCTTTAATGTCACACACGCAAAGACACACAGGGACAAGAGCACATGCAGGCGCACAGAATCATGACTCATGGAAAGCATCACTCATTACATGGAAGAATGAACAAATGAACTAATCCCGCTCAATGGTGTGGAACTACAGAGGCGCAAATAAAGCAGATTTCAATGCACTTTATTTAGCTTCTGTCAAAACACATACTGTGACTTGCACAGGATGAAGTTGTGCCTCATTTGAATGAAGTTCTCTCATTCAGCTGTTGTGTTGTCTATGTTGACACTTGCATTAATATCAGTGGCCGTGTCAGTCTTCTCCGTGTCTCTGGCCTGTCTGAGTACTCAGAGGGGGAATGTGGAGATAAACCCGACTCAGTGCTTCTTGGAGCAGCAGGCCAGCCTGCTCAGCCCAGTGGATTACTGCCGATACCAGCAGGGCTGTGATTGGTTGGAGTATCATAGGAAGTAAGGGGGAGTAGGCTGGCAGAGCTGTAACATAAACATAGCAGAAGGTTTCAGCCTGTGTCAGTGAGCTGTGTAATGGCCATTGCAGAACACAGATTTTTTAGAGGCTGATATTAATTTAAAATACAAATTTAGTTTTTCACTTTTCCATATTGGTATACTGTATGTTGCAGCATTATATTTTGTGTTGGCATCAGGTCTGGTAGATTTGATGTTGTGCATTAACAATTAATTTGTTTCTGCCAGCATTCACATCTTCACTGTCTTTATTACAGGAGGACAACAACCGTCAATAATGTGGATGCAGTGAGGCGGAGGAGAGTGGGGGAAGGGGGACTGGAATCCTGCTTCCACTCCTCTTTTAGAGAAAGTCTCCTGGGACCTGTGTGACAGTGAAAGGCCTGCTAACTGAGGCACCTGGATATCATGGGAGAATTTCAGCGTGTTTGGCCGTGCATGTCCATGGTTTCAAACATCTCAATAAAGGAAGCCTCACAGCGCCCTCTACAGGGATTTTGAAGGAACACAACTCATGTCTCAAGAGTGCATTTCTGGCAAGGATTTTTGATTCTGTATTGATGTCCTCAGAGCCCAGAGCCAAAACACAGTGAAAAAATAAAGAAGATAGATTTTCATAGGTTTTCCTCGTACCAAAGATACCAATCTTAGCCCACAACGATGCCACATAGAAGACGAGGTGTATCACGGCAATGACAACCAACCTGATGATTCCACTACAATCCTTGAATGCTTGGTTTCTCTGGTCTCTACAGTACATTCCAGTATAGGGAATTTGACCCTTTCGTTGAATGTGTTTTTATTTCTCCTCTTTTTCTTTTGATGTCTACAGAATGCATTGTGTAAATGTGGACATGAGAATGCACGCACAAATATTTGAAAAACTGAAAAAAAAAAAAAAAAAAAGAAGCCCATTTTTCACCACCTATGAGATGCCACCAGTCATTAGCTGTAGGTGTTTAGGGAAGGGAATTACTACCAGTGTGCCCACAAGTGTGAGAATCACACAGATGAGAGGACCAAATGAAAGAGTGGCCACGGCTCTTTATTAGCCATCGCAAAGCCATCGTTATAGTCAGTCCCAGAGCCTTCTGGGACTTTGTCCTTTTTATTGATTTGTCTCATCTTCTAGTTTCTTTTCATTTTTGCCTGATATTCACTGAATGGAAGAGCCTTATTCAGTACATGTTTTTACTTGTATACCTCATATGTTTTAAATCGTCCATATCATCATGCATTTCTTTTTACACAACTGTATACTATTGTATGTACATAAAACAAATCCAAATCAGAGATATAATGATGTAAATTTGTCTTTTGTGTATTTATGGAATCACTTTCTGGTGACTTTCTTTTCTTTCTTTTTTTTTGTTGTTCTGTGTTTTTCTTTGGTAAAACTTTATATTTTTCACTTTTGATTTGTTTGAATCTGTTTTCTTGCATCAAATAATTTGCTTGTTGATTTTTAAAAGCAATAGCATGCAGAAAATGGTATATAGCACAATGGTATAAATATTGTTTAAATTAGTGATGGGAAATATCAAACACATCTGTCGATAAATAGCCGTAATACAATTTGTCAGAGGGTTTACAAACACAGTACCGTGTCCAGACGTGCATGTTATGTGCAGATGCATACGAGCATGTAGACAGGTACGAACACACTCACACAGACACTCTCTCTCTCTGTCTTCTGCAAACACATATACACACACACTGTACACGTTACACATTTTGCGTCCAAGTTACATTCAGAGCCAAGGTTAATTTAGTTCTCCACTGAACAGACCCATTAACCTCCTGCTGATTAATGTGGTTACTTATTCACCAACAAGATAATCTCACTAACAAGCTGGGCCCACTGCCTCTATTTGTGACAAAGACACACACACATACAAACACACAAGTGTACACGATCATACACAAACACACACACATACACACACACACACCTGTGCATACAGATATAGGAGAGGATGAAAGCAATTATCAATTTTAATGTTCTATGCAATGACTCATTTTGAACCTGGAAGTGATTCAGCCTAAAACAGTTTATTATCATGACTGTATTCACAAGAAAAACAACAAAATTATGAACTAAAATAGTAAAAAAAAAAAAAAAAAAAAAAAAAAAAAAAAAAAAGTCATGAAAATGTTTTTACTTAGCAACTTGTCTGTATGAATTTGAATATTGAATATTGAACTAGAATTGTTTTTATTTTCGTGGCATGTTTTCACCCCTCACACCCCACACGGGGGACTTGTTGCCAAAGGGTAAACTGTGTAGACTGTCGGTTCTGAATGTCCACCATCATGTCGCTTCGAAGCATGGGTTTGCTTGGCTTTGTCTGGCTGTTTGTAAGCCCTCATTCAGTTTTTGTGCGTTTTGGCTGACCTGGGCACCTCAGTGTTTGGCTTGCAGTGACTGTCCGTGCGGCTATAAACCTGTGATACAGATGGTCAGCACTTCTCATTAATACGTGTCAGTGTACATATTGAGTGTCAGTATAACCTGTGGGGTGAATGGAATGCTTCTATCAGATATTTCATTGTTGACTAAACCACTCAGCAGCCAAGCCATTGGAAAGGTGCATGATTAGATCTTATATTCTTGGAAGTTGTACCTGAATTAAAAATAAAAAATAAAAAAAAGGAAAGGCATGATTTCACTAAGGTTTCAAACCTTGACTTTCACAGGCCAACGTAGAAAATATTGATGAGTAAAATGTTCAGCCAGTCATTCACAAATCAGGGCATGTCATTTTGAAAGCACAAGCCTGACTGGTAGCACTTGCTTCTCGATGAAACACAGAAATATGGGGGTTGCGTAACGGTGCCTCCAACTAAATAGTGTGAGATCTGTATCAAAACAAGAGGTGGAGATGCTATCTGGTCGATATGAGGTGCATGAGACAAAACAGCCTTCAGTGCAAACGTACGGATTTACAGAGAGGCAGACAGACACACATTCTTACTGTAAATACAAATTAATTCTTCTGTACAGCTCTTGAGTTTTGAGTACGGCTGTCATGTGCATCCCCATGCCGTATTTGCTGCCAACTTTTGTGTATAAAAAGAATATTTATTACCACAATAATGAGGATAATGATGAAATTAATGATGATGATTATTATTATTATTATTGCATAAGCATAGTGTATGTGGCTGACTCGTATTGACTGTTTACAACAGTGGAACAAAACTCATATTCAGAAACATATCTGGTCTGTGTAGAGTTTCTATACATATTGTGTATTGTAAAACAAGAGTGAAAAACCTCCACGGCAATTGCAGAGTAGAATGCCTTTGTCAGACTGTCAGGAGGTCTTGATTTGATGGATACGATCTGCAAAGTGATGAAGGTTATGGGAAGAAGCTGAAAAAAAATGAAACAAAAAATCTGGAAAATGTCATTCACTGTTGTAAGTGCAATGGGCAAAACGTCAGTCGTGTATCCATTGTGAAACCTTGTGTTCTATTCAGTGTATTCCTGTAAACAGATAGAGTAAATTTTGGTGCATCATGTCAAGTAATGTGATTAATGAAAATATTGACCCTGCAATTTCCAAACAGAGAAAAGAATAAAAAGAAAAGGAATATATTGTGGTTATTGTCTTAAGTCTGTGTGTGTGTCACCGATTTCCTTGCAGTACAGATAGAGACACTTGGTAGAAGTTGTGTAGTAGCTTTGCTGCAGACAGAGGGGAGCTCAAGAATAAAACCTCGAAGGCAACGAAGACTGTTCAGATAAGACCAGGCTTTACGTGCTGAAGCAGTGATGACTTATCCCAGTGTGGGAGGTAGGGAGGCAGGAGCAGTGATTGCCAATGCATGGGGAGAGATGGAAGTATGACTGTGAGGATGTGTGGTATGTCAGCCTGCATGTGTTTGTGTCAGGGAAAGAGAGAATATTAAATAAAAATAAAAAAAATAAAATACTGTAGTTTCTAGTCATCCTCACTTTGTCCTCTATTCTCCAAAAAAATGAATTGAAAATTCTTAACCTGATGTGTCAAGGTGTAAATATGCCATTTAGTATTTATCTGCTGCCACACTGTTACAAATACAGCTGCAACTGGAATTGCTGAAGAGTGCTGTCATAAAAGTTTTTAGTCATTCAAGTGATTCTTTAAGATATTATGAAGTGGTGAATCGATAGCATCTGGACGTGCTGGTAAATCCTCAAGATGTTTATCCAAGAGGCTTTGACTGGTGGGGAGGCCCAGATGTCAATGGTCCACAGAGGTTTTAAAGCACTCAGTATGCTACAGATGAAGTGCTTGCCAGATCTTGGTATTCTTCATGTCAGTGTGGTGCATATATTATGTTTCTTCGCTTATGGCAAATATCTCCAGAACCCACTGACTTACCACTCGTTTATGAGGAGATCTTGCAGTATATTCATGCTGGCACTGCAGTGCAGCTCTGGTATTAATTTACCAGCAGCCTGAGCACACAGGATGCCATGTTTCTTTATTGTGCTTGTATGTGTGGCACCACAGCACAGTGGAGGACTACTCCAGCGTAAGAAAGTTGAATGGGCCATTAGGTTACTATAAAATCACAAACCCATTCTCCAGCTCCCCTTTCCCACATAGTAGGGCATCAATAATCACATCTGCAGCTCTTGGCTGCCCTCATCAGGTTAGGTACATAATTAAAAGCACAGTAGACCAAGTAACTAAGTTTTAAATTTACCTAATTGTCTATTGAATATGATCTGCCACATATAACACTATTGCTGTCAAAGTTTCATTAGTCAAAGGAATAAGGAGCTATAAGTGTGTGTGTGTGTGTGTGTGTGTGTGTGTGTGTGTGTGTGTGTGTGTGTGTGTGTGTGTGTGTGTGTGTGTGTGTGTCATTGTTAAATGAACAAAATGGTTGGGAGGCCTCCCCCTTCCTGTTAATTAAAAGTAAATACTAAATTAAAAATCTGAACTAAATCTTTGAAAGCCGGAGTCATGTTGGCTGATGGACAGTCAAATTCAATATGGAACAATTGAAAGTGTTGAGTAGGGGGTGATGGTAAAGAAAGAAAATAGCTCTTTATAATACAACCAGCTGGGATCCTGTAAATGCAAAACAGGACGAGGCCTTAAACTGAACTTAAGTGCTATGTCCTTGATGCTAATCCAGAATATAAAGTGTTCAATTATAATTGCATGGACTACACAGTCAAAGACAACACTAGGATGTGAAAGGATTAAATTGAACTTTTACCCAACTCTACTGCTAAAAGAAGGTCACTGGTTTCTTTAATGATGTCAGTCTCTGTACTTTGCACTGAACAGCAAACCAAACTAGATATGAGCAAAAAAACCTAATGAGGAGGAAGTTTTCCCTGGGACTTACAGGTCTAGAATCTTCTGTTTTTTTAAATGTGAGGTTGAACTGTGAGAAACAAAATAGTTCATTTTTAGAGAACAATTGATCCTGCTGTACCGTATCATAACCAGCAAGACTTCAACAAACTATTTCAAAAGGAGCAATATATATGGCAAGATGTTCATACATGATATGTATATTTATTATTTTTAAAGATGATTGAGACATAGCTTCTCAAAGGTTAAAACACCACTAAAATTTCTCTATTAACTAGACCATCATGACCCATCATTGGCAGTGTTGTAAAGTCTTAAGTGCTCCATCTATACGCTAACACAGATTTATTGCTGGGCCCAGCAGCCAAATCTACAGCAAAGGGGGTCCAACCTTTTTTCCTCCAGGTCCATCTAATGAATCATATTTAACATCATAATAATACATATAAAACTTCTGACCCCCCCCCAACCCCCACTTCTCTCATAATTTGTTGGAGGTCAGTTACTCTATAGTACTTTACAGATATTGTTGGTCTTAG